CACGCCTTTTCCAACAAAGCCCTGCGCGAGCAGGAAGAAATTCTCCAGATGTACGCCAGCATGTTCATGGAAAAGCTCAAGGGTCTCATGGGCAGCGCCGTATCCCAAAACATTGACATCACCTGCTGGTTCAACTTCACCACCTTCGACCTCATTGGCGATCTCGCTTTTGGAGAACCCTTCGGCTGCTTGTCAGCCAGCACATATCACTGGTGGGTTCGAATTATCCTGGATGCCGTCAAGGCAAGTGCCTACCTCAAGGTATTTTGGTACTACCCTTTCCTCATCCCCTTGGTTCGTGTCCTGGTCCCCAAGCACCTTCTCCAGAAACGCCAAGCCAGCTTCGACCTGAGCGTCGAGAAGGTCCGGCGTCGTCTCGCCCTGGGTGCTACCCGCCCCGACTTCACTTCATATATCCTTAAGCATTCCAAGGATGGAAAGGGCATGTCGTCTGAGGAGATGGACGCAAACTCGGCGGTCTTCGTCCTGGCCGGCAGCGAGACTACCGCTGCCCTGCTCTCTGGTGTGACATACTACCTTCTGCGCAGCCGTGATAAGTACGCGCGCTTGGTCCGGGAAATTCGTGGTGCTTTCGACAAGGACACTGACATCAAGCTGTCCACCCTCGTGGACCTCCCGTACCTCAATGCTGTCCTGACTGAGGCGATGCGCATCTACCCGCCTATTCCTTCCATGCTTCCGCGCATTGTTCCCGAAGGAGGAGCAATGATTAACGACCAGTACGTCCCTGGAAAGGTAATTACAATATGCTGGTGTGTTTTGTCTGTGGACAATATCCGAGCATGGAACTCGTTCGAGAAAAGACAGTTCCACCGTCGCTATTCCCATCTGAACACCAAAACACAATTCCAATTCCACACCTCGATACTGACGACAGTTGAATACAAACAGGTCTCCGTTTCCGTCTCGCTCTACTCCGCCTTCCACGCCGCCTCGCACTTCAAGAACCCCGAGGCATTCGTGCCAGAGCGCTGGTTGAATGAGTCTGACGAGTACATGAATGACAAGAAGGAGGCCTTCCAGCCCTACTCCTACGGTCCACGCAACTGCCTTGGTCAACAGTAAGCACGCATTCCATTACTGCCTGCTCACTCCATCCGTGTTTTCACCTGAGCCATACCTGGCAGTGTGTGCTAATATTTCGTCTACAGCCTCGCGAACGCCGAAATGCGTCTCCTGCTCGCCAAGCTCTTGTGGAACTTCGACCTAGAGCTTCTTCCTCAGTCTCTGAACTGGACTGACCAGAAGTCCTTCTCGCTCTGGAGCCGTCCTGAATTGATGGTTAAGCTCTTCCGTGCCGGTACTGGATCTGCACTTTAAGCGCATGAATTTACAAAACGAACTGACGACATCTCCTTTTTACTACATACCCGATTGCGACGGATCGTTGTCTCAACTGCGGAAAAGCATGGGTCCGAAAAGCGTTTGTTGAGAACTTTGAAATGGCGTTTTCTTTCTTTCTGTCTCGGGGTTGCGGCTGGGCTGTTTGTTTCGTCCTCCCTGGGATTCAGCACATAACATGCATCTACTCACCCGCGGGTTATTACCCCGGTACAAAAGGTCGGAGGCATTTGGAAGTGGGCTTTTTCGCTAGAATAGAAAAAATTTAATACATAATCTGCTGTCAGAGGGTGGTTGTGGCGTCTCCTCGACCAAAAAAATGAATGAGGTTGTGTTTTTTCTCTTAAGTTAAGGTGCAAGTAGGTAGAGTTGAAGGTATTATATATGCAAGCCCCGTATACTGGTGACCTATCCAAAGTAATGCATGTTATATCCAAATGACAACTCCTAACCATGCAAATTACAAAATCCGTGTAACTCCCCGGTGTGCTAATGCTTTTCGTATACTAAGTGATTGTCAGAAAAAGTCTTGTTCACCCAGCCATTGCGAGTCCATCGCGTAGGCCACCAAATCCGCGGCGCAACACATGTCCTCATGTCCATGCTCCAAGTCGAGAAGTTCGAGGACAGCTTTGAGCCTGTCCTCTAATGTTTGCTTGAGTCGCGAGATACCAGTGTGCATGTCCTTTGTCTGTCTCTCCTTGACGAGGGACCCGGCCATGTTTTGGTCTTTCCATTTGGCGGTCTCCGGTTTCGGTGTGATCTTGTTGGGCGAGCAAGACGCAAGAGCCTTTCGCTGTGGCTGTGCAGGCGATGGTTCAGGTTTGCGGTTCTTGAAAAGACTCTGAAGTAGGAACAGTAGCCAGACCAAATTGGTGCGTGGGGAGTATTCTGCCCAAATGCCAGGGATATCCGCCACTTTTTCTCTTTCTATGGGACAACCAGTATAGAGAGTCGCACGCATACTGATTTTCAGTGTTAGTAAATTGTGTAAGAAATCAAATAAGCAGGCATTGGGCAACATACTATCGGTAGGTGTTTCTTTGCATGATCTCGTCTTCATCTTGGCCAATAGCATCGAACAATTGCTTCTTGTCCAAATCTGATGACGCAACCTCAGTGAGACCGGCGGGATCATCGGTTAAGAGTAGTTCCGCTCGAGAGAGCGAATAGTCGATAATGGTGGTCTCGAGGGAGCTGATTCCAAATCCACTGAAGGATGGCTGTCGTGCAACATCGAGTTCTGTGGGGGGATCCATGCAACCATCTTCCCGCGTAGAACGTATACAAATATTTCCCAAATGAAGATCTCGATGCTCGAACATAGCATACTCCTCTGCCCGGGCCAGTGCCATCGCAACTCCCCAGAAAATATCATAGATCTGGAAAATCGATGACCAAGCAAACTTCTCCAGTTCACACCCCGCATCGTCCATCTCCACAATTGCCCATAACTGCGTATCAGGATATGCTCTTTTGTTGGACGGGTTGGGATTCATGCAGTCGTCTTTGGTCTTCTTGTAGTGGTCCCATGCATTTTGGAAGGACTCTGGGAAACGACCTTGGACAACATGAATCTCTCTGAAGCGAGCAAAGCCAGGGATCGGGTCTAGATACTTGAGCATCTTGACCTCGGAAACAATCTCGTCAATGGCGGTGAACTTTTTGGATCCGGGACCGCTCTTTGCTCGCAGAGGCACGACCTTGAAGACTCCATCGCCATATGATTTCAGTTTCGCCAGTTTTGATTTTGACACTACTGGTCTACAAGCTTCTTCCCGTAGGTGAAGTTTATAGACTTCACCGTAGGATCCCTCTGCGAGTTTTGCGACGTCGAACATGTTTGCTGATCGCGAAGTCCATGAGCCGAACTTCTGAATGCCTTGCGCGGCAATTGGAGATAGCGCCTCATTCAAAATCGGGCGAACATAGTCGCTGGATTGGCTGTCATAAACAACTCCAGATGATTGTCTGGCCGCAATAATCTTTTTTCTTTCCGCTCTCCTTCTGTCGGAAGATGTACTTGGCTTTTCTCGATCCTCCACTGTGGACTCTGACGTCGGAGCTGGGGAATCTGTTGTGATTTTCAGGTGATTTTCTGAATCCTTCGTGCATATTCTGACCTCCGCCATCGTTTCACATTGCGTTGATTCTGGCTTCGCCTTCTCCGGGGAAGATTCGACGGAGGATTGCGTTGTCGGGGTGTCGGAGGTGTCCTCTACCGGAGATGGACTCGACTCATCAGATAGGATTTCCGACAACCCTTGATGCTGCTTGCTCTTGATTTTTTGAGGCTCTGCATGTTTTTCTGGCCGAGGGGTTGAGTCGTCATCGATTGTCACTTGGGCTAGTTTCGCTTGGAGGTTTTCCACGGGGTCGACATGTTGGGTCTTGGATCTGGTGTCCCTGGCCGGGCTCCCTTGGTCGAATACTGCCCTGGGGGCATTCGCTCTTCGTTTTCCGTACACTCGGCGCTGAGCCACCGACTTGGGTCTGGGTGGTTTGAGCTCCATTGGTGTCGCGTGACTTGAAACTGGCGAGTGTGACCGGGTTGACATTGTCGGGGGAGATCTATAAAACCCAGTATATTGGCCTGGTGTGTGGGATACCTGTGATGGGCGGGTTAGGATCTGTTCGATAGAGGTTAGGAAAGATGATCTGGGCCAAAAGTGATCGAACGTGTTGACGTTTAACCTAATTGGGTTTAGCGCAGTGTTGCTGCGGTAAAAGCATTCTGCCTTTGGCCTTTGGCCTTTGAAATTATATTGGACTGATGTATGTTGTATATTTCAATCGATATTGCTTTGATATATGGGACTATTAAATGCATAAGAAATATGGATGCCATTGCACATTGGAGGAAATATTTGGGGAGTTCAGTAGCAAAGCACAAGTCCGGGGAAAGAGTATAGTGATCCTACAACCCTGTATAGCTACGGTAGATATGTATAAGGGATGCAATTTTTATTTTCGTTTCATTTCATTTCATTGCTCTGATATTGACTGGGCTTTCGGAGTCTTTCCCTTACATCGCACATGAAACGTGGGACTCAGACCTTTGAAGATCTGCACCCCCGTGGCTGTTTCTGTACGTTGTACGGAGTAGTATGACACCCTTCAAGTTCAGAAACATATCCCGTGTCTTTCCCCCTTTCTCCAGATTCGCAAAGATAGTCATAAGAGATAGTGGATGGCCCAAACGGAAGAGTCCACTCCGTATGGAGTAGAGACACATGTATATGCAAGATAACCCCGAACGGTGAAGTGAATGGTCCAATATCATCCACAGTGGACATCAAACCGGGGCGACCCGGTTCCTGCAAGTCACATTGTGACGTACCGGCTATCCTTATAAGAAATATGTACAACATAAAGAAAAGAAAAGAAAAGAAAAGAAAAGGAAGAAATATTAGAGTGACAGATCCAATTAGAAAAGCTAAGTGAAAGAACAAGACGAAGAAAATAACGAAAATAAAGAAAAAAAGTCCCAAGCCGGAAGCACGCGCCTCGGGTGTGCGCTTTTGCCTCTTTTCCCTTTTTTTTCCGCCTCCCGCCTCTCCCTTCTCTCTCTCTTATGTTGTAGAGTCTCTCATCTAATGTTCTTTTAATACTTTCTAATACTTTCTCGATGCTTGGGCATGGCGTTCAACTTCAACTGGTCGCCGATGGCGGACGCGAGTTTTTACACTCGCGCCCAAGATCTGCTCACTGCCGCCCTCAATAAATCGCCAAAACCCCCCATAATCGTCGACGATATTCACGTCACCGAGTTGAACTTGGGATCCATTCCCCCGGAACTCGAGATTTTGGAAATCGGTGACTTGGCCGAAGATCGCTTTCGCGGTATCTTTAAGATGTCATACACTGGCGACGCCTTTCTCACCTTAAGGACCCGAGTTCAGGCAAATCCACTCAATACCTTCCTCCTCACACGACCAACTTTCGGCTCGCCAGTACCTCTTGCTGCAGCGTACGTCTTTAGTCGCACTTCTCTCCTTTAACTCTAACCTATCAGATGTATTTGCTGACATGCGATTCTAGTACCCCGCTCACTATACCCCTACAAATCACCCTCTCCGACTTCAAACTCTCTGGATTCGTCATACTAGTTTTCTCAAAGCAAAAAGGAATCACAGTCGTGTTCCGTAATGATCCGCTTGAGTCGCTCAAGGTTTCGTCGACCTTCGATTCGATCCCGTTCGTGCGCGACTTCCTACAAAAAGAAATCGAAGCTCAGCTTCGGATATTGTTTATGGACGAGCTCCCAGCCATCATTCATCGACTGTCGCTCCGCTTGTGGGTTCCAGAATATCGCACAGGGGAGGAAATGAACGACGAGACCGATAACACAGCCAAGTCAAGCGAAGGCCCTGGCCAAGATCCTCTAGCTAGCCCGCCACAGGATCCCGTCGACTCTCTCGGAAATGCATTGAATGAATCCGAAATCGCATCGCTTTCTTTAGATTCATCGGTCGAGACCCACTCTCTCTTCTCGCAAAAGAACCTCCTTCGCTTGGCCGCTCTAACAGATTCGCAACGTACCCTGTCCTTGTTCACTCCCTCGATCCAGGAAGTAGTATACCGAGCATGGACTTCTCCAACCGATACTAGCGAATTCCCTTCGAGCGTGATCTCACCACTAAGCCCGACTCTTTCGCGAACGCAGTCCCAAATGGGAAGCATGTCTTCCCTTCACGAAACCGCCAGCAATGCCTCCATGCAAAGTCGACCCTCCATGTCCACCCATTCATTTGGTACTAGCACCTATGGTTTGAGTCTAGGCGCTGGACGCCATTCCAAAGCCCACGCCCGGAAACGCAAGAAGCGAGTTGTGGATCTGCGCCCCAAGACAACCGATGACGCTATGAGCGTCAGCGATGAGAGTGTCATGACCGAGTCGTCCAGACCCCCGTCTATCGCCTCCGCGCCTCTGCCTATTGTAAATGAGCCGTCGGATGACCCAGTCACACCACCTCTATCCCCCGAAGTCGACTCCCACTTGCCCATTATCCCCGAAAGGCATTTGTCCAGCTTCTCCCGCCCAATACGTCGGGATAGGGACTTATCATACTCCAATGAGACTATCCGTGGACCTAAAGCAGAGGATGTGGACGCCACCCCTCGTGCTACTATACGTGGTTATCCCCAGGAGAAGGCTGAGGCGGGGCCGTCTAACAACCAGCGACCACCGTTGCCTGCGACTGTTCTTCCGTTCTCCAAGGATGAGAACGCCAACAACGAAAGCGTTGATTCTGTCCTGGTCGAGAGACTCGCCGGTGAAATCGCTCGTCGGATGCGCGAGGACAAGCTTATGACAAATGCATGCAGCGGCTTCTGGAGCCGCCAGCATGAAGACAGTCCTCCTCCGGCGTACGGCCACTGAGCCTCACATCCATACATTTTCTACTCGAGCAACCCTTGAGCATGACCGTTACGATTTCCTTACTTTTCTTTTCCTTACTTTTTCTTGGTTCCTCTTTTGTTCTTTTTCTTGGGCTAAACTGATATTTCTTTGGAGCGGGATTGTACAAAACTGGGTTCTGTCATGGTACAGCTGGCGTTGAGTTCTGTTCGGGGGTTTCATTTTTACATGATACCACTCTCATTAGCCATTATTATTATTTTGTATTTCTTATTTTAGGGCGGGTTATGTCCCTAGAGAAGGTCGGATGGATATCTGTTTAAATTATATGTCTCTTTCGTTCCTCAACTCTAAATACCTCCGATGCGGGTAAAAAAGCTGGAGACCGCGCTAAACCCGGGAGGAACTTAGCTCCGCACCGGACATCTCTCGATTCCTTCCCTCCTTTCCCTTCCATCCATATCACATCAATTCCAATATGGCGGGCATGTTCAAGAACGTGTTTGGCTCCCAGGAGGCTAAGCCCGATGATGGTATGTTAATTGATATATTTCAATTGCTAAGCTGACCCTAGTAGACTTCGCCGACTTCGTGGATAACCCGTCGCCTGCCTCACTCGTCGCCGACTCGACCATCGCCCCAGCTGCCAACACACTGGCCGCTAAGACCGTCCCTTACACGGCCTGGTACCGAGTATGGGAGAGGACATCCCCGAGCGATTTCAAGCAGGAGGCAATGATCATGCCTGTCATCCTCTTGATTATCCTCTTCCACCTTTGGGGAACGCGCAAGAACCGAAAGAGGGCGAGGGACTGGGCGCAGGCCCACGGACCTTCTCTTCAGAAGGAGTTTTCCGTCGTCGGATTTGATGGAATCGCCCGACCGGCTGCCGTTGAGCTCACCAACCCCGAGTCGCTGCTGAAGGAGAGGTCTGCCTCCGAGTTCGCCTCGTATGCGACTGGCCGCCAGAACGTTGCCTTCCTCGATGTCAATATCAAGATGCCTAAGCGATATAACCCTATCACCTTCATCATGGAGTATGTCTTCAGCTTCTTCTTTGAGAGCTGGGAGCCCCCCGTTGAGAAATACGAGGCTCTAGCGTATGCTTTCGATGGTAAGGAGAAGGACCTGGTTCCCGTTCTCGCTAAGGATTCTGCTCTCGTCAAGGATTCTGCTCCCGTCAAGGTGCCTAGCTCGACTTACGACGGCTTCATCTGGGCTGTTGTTCACAAGAGCCATATGCGCAAGTTCCGCAACGACCGCTATGATGCCTCTCTCACTTTTTCTAAGGATAACCCTAAGCTCCCCTCGTGGGTTACCGTGATGACCGAGAGTGCCGAGATTAGCGATACCCTCCTCAACCCGGAGTTGATCGAGGCTATTGAGCAGGCTGGCAATGACTTTGAGTACTTGATCGTGACGGACCAGCCTATCGATAGACCCACTAAGTAAGCAGCCTTAGTGTGAGATTTTAACTAGTGCGTATTGCCTTACTAACGAATGTGTGTTCTAAGGATCGACGAGACCATTCCTAAGAAGCGCATCCAGCTCTCCGCTAACCTCGCCTCCTCCCCGTCCGGCTATACCTCTACCCTCCCTCTGTTCAACCAGTTCCTACGCTTGTCCGATAAGCTGGTCGCCTCCGCCCACTTCCGTGGTGAAGTTATGCGCAAGGTCCGTAATGCCCGCGAAGAGGAGATCAAGAAGCTGCGCCGTGTCGACGAGGAAGAGAAGGCCGAGGAGCGCCGCATTGCCGCCGAGAAGATCAAGAAGGATGAGCGTGAGCGCATCCTGCGTGGATTGAGCGCCGACGAGCAGCGCAAGTTCCTTGAGCGTGAGGCTCAGAAGGGACAGAGACGCCAGGCGAAGAAGAGCACCCGGAAGGGTTAGACGGGTGTCTTTGCTACTCCTTTCTGTGGGAAAGATGCGGGTTGAATGTCTTATCCTGCCCTTTTGATACCTTTCTAATTTGATGTATTCGTATTTACTTGTGGAAGATATAATGTCTACCATAAAACTGGGGATGCAATGTTCAAACTTTCAGCCATATTCAATATGGAGTATGTTCAGGTTATTGAGTTCTGTGATTCGAATCCCAGGAAGCAGCGTAGCAGGCCTTGCAACCTCACACCTCGCCAACATCTCAATCTCACCACGCCAACCAGCGTCAACAGTCATTCCAACCATCCTTATATACTCCGACCTGGTTCATTCATTTACAATGTATTTCCTCGTCCCCCTAATTCCATTCCTCCTTTCGGCTATAACTCTATCCCAAGCCGCTCCCGCAGGAAACAGTATCAACACCGATACAACCACCAAAACCACCAAGACTGCCCAGCTCAACATCTCCAACTTACCTGTCGGAGCCATAATCACCCACTGTACTATTCCAGGCACAATCGCCCTCACTTTCGACGATGGCCCGTACATCTACACACCCCAGATACTAGATATACTCGCCGAACACGGTACAAGAGCAACCTTCTTCCTCAACGGCCATAACAGAGGAAACATCGATACGTCACCCGAGGTAGTGCAGCGCACATTGGCGGAAGGACACCAGCTAGGATCTCATACGTTCGTTGATACCACCCACTAAGCTACCCTCTTTCCTTCCCCAGCCCAGTCCAGTCTAAGCACCAACATACACTAACTGGATAACCAGATGGAATCACCCCTCCCTCGACACCCTCTCATACCAAGAAATCGTACAGCAGATGACACTCCTCGAAGAAACCTTCATGCGCATCCTAGGCTTCTTCCCGACCTATATGCGCCCCCCATTCCTCAGACATACGCCCGTCGTCCTCGGCGCCATGGCTGATCTGGGATACCACGTTATTGGGGCTAGTGTTGATACGAAGGACTACGAGAATGATAACCCTGATACGAATTGGATTAGCTTTGAGAAGTTCTTGAGGGAGGTTGATGCTGGTGGGACCATTGTGTTGGCGCATGATTCGCATCAGCATACGGTCGAGATTTTGGTGGATAATATGCTTGCGTATGTTAAGAGGAGGGGGTTGAGTGGTAGGTTTTTCTTTTCTTTGTATTTTTCTATATTTATGGATTGAGGCTAACGGGTTTCGCTTATAGCTGTTACTGTTGGCCAATGTCTTGGTGATCCGTCTGAGCATTGGTATCGTGCTGGGAGGTAGATGGATGGTGTTTGTGGGAACTGGGGTTTATTTCCTAGTTGTCCTGGTTGTCCTACTTGTACTGTGTGATTGTCCCTTGATATTCATACTTGAGCCAAGGGATGTGTGCTCCTAGGTTCCATTGAACTCATAAGTCATCCTTGATGCAGACGTTCCGCAGACATACGTGCCTGGCCAATGTAATCCCTAGGATAACGATGTGCGCCTATTTTCATATGAGAGCTGGTGCTTACGGTCCTCACTGTAGTGCGAAGGCCAGGGGTCAAATGCCTGAACATTTTGTGTCTGATTTATACAAAAAGAAAAGATATCAAAAGACGAAAGCTGTAGGAGTGTCGTACTCTTTAAAACAGGTACAGAGATGAAGCTTTTCCTATACAAATCTCCATCTTCATCCAATTCCAGTTGAAGCCAAATTTCAAGGTGACGCCAGCACTACCTCTTACATTGTTAGCCAAAGCCTACCAACCACTTTGCTTCTTTCCTTCTCTTCCCCTTTTTATTTCTCTCTCCTTTCCCTTCCAACCCAACATTTTGAACATCATGACCCGAAAAGCCTCGCCTGCCTCGGCGGGGCAACACTCGTCTACGGTGTCTTAGAGTCCCCGGTCTTGGAATGGCTCTCCCAAGGACAAACCTTCAGTCTCCAAAGATCCGTTCTCAGACCGGCTGAAGGACTCTCCCCGGAGTGTCTGGTCTTGGAACGGCTCTCTGAAGGACGAAGATCCGTCCTCAGACTAGCTTAAGGACTCTTCCCTGACCTTGAAATAGATGTATCGTGACGCACAGGACTCTTTGAGACCGGGTGAAGTGGTCGAGTGCTGGTCACTTATAGCAAAGAAAGCACAAAGACATGCCGGGCTTTCAATCCCTTTGCCAAAGGTTCCTGTTGGTAAAATGTGGTGGAATGAGGAGGTTAAGCCGTGTTCCACATAGAACACGGGATGAATCACCCCACGTGGATATCCCCTTCTCCAGGAGTCTCCCTCCCACAATGAGCTGGTAAGTACTTCGCGGCTAGGCTATATATTAATCACCTACCCTTTCCTTTGTGACCACATACTAAAACCTAATAGTAAAAATGTTGGAAATAGTTCAGGGAGCAGCAGCATCTACTGTACTCCGTACTGGATCAGGTCTCCGCATCCAACAACCACAGACAATGGCCCTTGAACCTAGAACGTAAAACCCACATGATCTCTCGACCAATCCTATACGACCAAAAGCAGCACCGAGCTAGCGGGCGTGCAGGCTACACCCTCTGGTGCGGTAAAACCCGTGGACTGTCGAATATCAATTTGGTTATCATTGAAGCCAAAACGCAGGGCACGGTGCCAGATAAAGAACCCGAAATCCTGGGATACATGGGTATGCCTTGATGCCTATGTCTAACAGTACTCTTCTAAATATTCTTTTTTCTCCTAGACATCGTCCACCAAGAGCGCAAAGCCCTGGGAAAGACCAATACGGTTGCTTACGGGATGGTTAGTGACGGAGAAGAATTTTGTTTCTACCAGATAGACGATTAGAACAAGGTATGGTCCAATGATCCAATTACTACTGGGGACAATTGTCTGATTTATGAATAGTGGAGGTCAACTGGCAATTTCTACGAATCACCAGAGACTATAGCAAAGTAGTTGATCTCCTCACGTGCATTATGCAGGAGGCCTTCGTGTCCAAGGATGTCTCGGCAGAGGATGACCTCATGGCAGACGTTGGGCTTGCTTATACTTTCTGATCCCTTTTCTGTTTGGTTTGGTTCTTTTTCTTCTTGCTTCTTGCCTATTGTTTCTGTTTATATGTTTAACTTCGTATCGAGATACCTCAGGGAGTTCTGTCAAGCCTCTCCCAAGCTTAGAAAAGAGGAAGAACATGGCACAGGCGTACAGCTAGGGTGTTTGAGATCAGATATTTTGATGAAGCTCCGATGCTTCGTTCAATCATCTTCCTATCCCTTTATCCAACATGAGAAGTACATGCCTCGAATTCAAACTATGTTGAGGCATCAAAGTCAATTAATGTGACCTTGAAAGTTATAGCACGCCAAGTACTAGGGATATAGATCAGTCATTTTGATTCTTAGTCTCTCATTAGACACTTGCCTGATTGGCCATGGATATAGAATAACCGCTTAGTGTCATTTAATGCGAACTACCTGATCTTTGCATGCACAGATCTGAGACTCATAGAAATGGTAAATATGATTCATTGCTTACATGCAGCTTGTTAGACCTCTCTTTGTTCTTTTGAGATCACCTCTATACCTTTGTCCCTTTGTCTCTATCAACCTATTTAGAGAGCTTCGTAGCAGACACAGTTCTATCGCTCTTCTCCTAGCCTCCCATTATTAAGCTTTTCTTTTTTTCTTTTTTTCATACAAGATATAAAGCAATGGTAAGGTTCGAGAAAGATATGTATCAATAAAATATGAGAGTGAGCTGACCTGACTATCGTTTAATATATAAACAAGAGTCCCGGAACTTCCTTTCTACTTTGGCCAAAATCACTTCCTACTACCCATCCATCACGTTAGACAACGTTGTCTTCTTTTTGTCTCTCAAAACTCTACATTATTTGGCACTTGCTCCCTACTATAGCCTTTGATTAGAGTATCTCAGGCACTGCTTGGATACATGGGTAAGTGGCTTCTACTATCTTTGTTTTCAAGACTTGGAGTACATAATCTAACTCACTCAAAGGATGAGTATATCGAAGACGCAAAGATCTCGAGACGAGAACATAGCACAAATGGCCAAATCGGCGAGCATTTCGGGACCACATTGGCGTATCACTGTATCTTCAGCTACTGCCTCAGTCTTTCGAAACTCGATTTCGCCTTCAATAATGGCTGCTTCTACTAACGAAAAGGAACCACATTCGCTCTTCAAAAATCGACTTGCATTGCGGATCAAACCTCAACGAAAGCCAGTTTCAGGCCTTATGTGCGGACTGGTCGCAACCCGCTAGGAACCAGGTCGAGACATCCAAAGCCAAAATCCATAAGCTCGGCCTTCGTCGCGAATACCAAGACATCAACCTGTGGCTCAGTCAATTCCACCCATTCCAGAGTTACCTTGATCATGTTAGGAACAATCGGCGGACTCCTCCCTGGAATATCGGAGACTCTAGATCAGCGGCCACCGGGGCTGGGATAATGGAGATCCCACGAAGGAAACAGGAACCTGTGATAGCAGCTGTGAACGCCAGAAGAAACCGAAACCTAGACGAGGAACGGTATTATTACCTACATTCCCGCCACAACCCAAGGAAGATACCCATAGACGGCGAAGAAGACGAATCCAACCGTCTATAACGTTGCAGCAGATGGACAGTACTTCATCTTTCTCAAGATCAACGACCAACAGCAAATGTCTCTGAATTTGCTATTGATGGCACTGGTTGTCATCATTGCTCGAATACTCTGTTTCATTGCAATCAAGGCTGGCCTTGGGGGGGGGGGGGGCGGGGAGGGGG